GTCATACGCAACTTCTACCATCAATTTATATTAAGTGAATAACTGGACTAAAACTTATTTTATATGTAGAATTATCGTTTGAATTTTTTTGTGAATTACTACTTAGGTCTGACCAAAAGTTCTGACAACATTATATAAAAATATAAAGATAAGGAGATATCTTTAATTTTATTTTATCAAATTTTGAGGACAGTTGCCATGATTATTTATACCAAGTTTGATCCTTTCCAACGATTAGTTAAAAGTTTTTTGAAGTTTTTTCGAAAAAAGTTTTAGGTATCATGGATACCGCATGAGCTAATCATATTTCATTTATTGTGAAAAGTTAGCAAAATCTTCTTCGATCATATCAGTTGCATTTTAGTACTGCTAGTGATGAGATATAGATTTATTTTAGATAGGTTAGTCATAAGTTATCCGATGCTGGCTGGCTTATTGAAGATGAATCGTCAAAGACTATTGTTCATGAATAAAGATTTTAGAAAATGCTTTGTTTGGTATATTCTTTAAATCAAATACTCCTGAATGTAGATAAAGGCAAGACTGTAAGTCACAAGTATTATACTGAAAACTCTCCAAAACATTTTATTAATGAAATATGGAAACAAACAGAGACATCAGGTTCAAAATGTACAAAATTGATTGACGGTCATCGTTGACTTCATACTCATCTAATGTTATTAATTGCATGACAGAAGAAGGCATCAATATAATATCATATCTACCATATTCGCCAAGCCTGATACTATGTAACTTTTCGGTAACTAATTCTATTAAATGTAGTTTAACTGATTAAATAAATGAAACATGATAAGCCCATGCGATATCTAAAAATTTTTTCGAAAAAAACTTTTAACAAATTGTTGCAAAGGATCGAACTTGGTATGAATAATCATGTCAACTGTCCTCAATATTTGATAAAATAAAATTAAAGATGCCTACTTATCTTTATATTTTTATATAATGTTGCCAGAACTTTTGGTCAGACCTAAGTATGATCGAATTACATGATTTATCTCCTGATGAATCACTTGATAGGACAGTTTCGTCGAATACTGATCGTTCATCTACAATTATTTCTTCATCTTTCAGTCATTGCTCATCGAGTAATATTAAATGTAATTCGTCAAATATAAAAATGTTTTTAAAAGAACAACCAGAAAAATACGTGCTTGTCGACAATCACAAAGTGAATCATTCAAAACCATCTCATATAGACTTGAGTTTTGCTTTTGTAAAAAATGATTATTCATAAAAGGAATGCATCATTAAAAATAAAGTATTTGGTAAATAAAAAATTTCTTCGGGTTACACGGGACGGGTCGGGGCCCGTCACAAAAATGGCGGGTCTGTCCAAGAAGCTGGGTGTGCGGGGTACGGGCGGACCGGGAATAGGTTTGCCGGGGCACAGGCGGGGCGGGGATTCTCATTAAGAATATCCACGGGGCTCGGGCGGGGCGAATTTGTGAATTCTACGGAGCGGGCCCCGCGGGGCATGAAAAATCAATGCCCCGCACATCTCTGCTCCCCAGAGAATTAATGAGTATTATCAGAATCTCTCCAGAAGCCACTATTGGAAATCTCTGAAAAGTTTAGAGGGATCCTGAGATATGCAACTTCCTCGGACACTCTCCGATGATTTCATTGAGGAGAATCGACTAGGAAATTCTTTTCTTCATTTACCACCAGTTACATCACACATAGCAGTAATTGGTTGATCAATAGCAGCTGGAATAAATTGATTAGTAGGTATATCACCTATACCAGTACCAGTTGCATTACCAGGTGCTCCTGTTGGAATTATTGATGATGCAGTAGCAGGTAATGCAAGTACAATAGCAAATAAACGTTGATCCCAACGAAATGGTTCTTTAGTTAATTCACTACCTAATGGACCTGTATTCATTGGAATATTAATCTAAACAAAAACAAAAAAAAAAGATTTCGAATATATACAAAAAAAAAAAGAAATTTATGTATTTTTTTACTTCATTTTGAACACCAGCTAATGTAGTTAATTTTTGTTTATCTGTAATAACAATAATTAATGATGGTTCAAGTAAATGTGGAAATCGACCACATCCATATGTATCATGATCAGCTGCATGTCGATTAAGATTAAGTAAATCAAAAGCTTGTTTTATTGCTGAACCCATTTGTGTTAATCCAGTTGCTTCAAGACTTTTTAATTGATTAGTAAATACAGTCATTGGTTCTTTCCATCCAACTTTAACATTTATTGGTGGTTCATCAAGTGTTAATAACATATATCGATCTGTTCTAGCTGCACCAGCATCTCGTTGTCGTATCTATATAGATAGAATATATTACGTAAAAAAAAAAAAAAAAGAAAAAAATTATTTCAAACTTTAAGAAATTGTTCGATAGCTCCTTTCCCAATATCAAAAAGACTTGTACCAACATGAGTCATTTGATTCATTGATGCTGAATTATCAAGAAGAAATATAACTACAGGCATTTTTAATTTATTTAATTGATATTAAGAACTAAATGATAAATAAAATGATCTGATAGATGTATTGTTGTTTACTATCTTAGTTCCACTGATTATAAAGACCATTCACAATAGTCTATATGATAGAGGTCGCTAATTGATGATGAATACTTTATTATTTTCAATAGAAAATGTTTTTCGACATGAATAATGGATAATAAAAAGAAAAAGACAAAATTCGACTATTTTATTCAAATTTTGCTGTTGAAATTAATTCGACGTATTGCTACTACTAGTCAGAATGCTTTAATGTTGTTGCAACAAAAGTTTGTATTACATTGTAGTAAATGAAAACTTCTATAATAAAATTTCAAAAGTACAATCAACTCCAAAGTTACAATATTGCCATAAGCTTCCACAATAAAACGAATAGCAGCTAGTGACAGTAGTCATAATCGAAGTAAAGATGCATTTGAAAACAACGCCAACAACAAACGACTATAGTGTGTATTAAATGTCAATAATTATAAAAACCAGAGTTGTCGAAGGGATAAGTGTAACATCTATACACAAGATAGAAATTGTGGTTATAGCTTGAGATGAGAGTCATACTATTCAATAGGATGTTTTCGATCAAGACAAAAGTATTTTTTATAAAACTTGCTCGAACATTTTCGAGGGTCGAGGAACTCGAATCTACAAGTGATTTCTCAAAATTCCTGAGTTCTATTTTGTTTTGTTTTGTTAGTCAGCATAAGTCTATTCTCGCGATTTAGCCGAGTTTTATTAAATTCATCTATTATTTTAAAATAGGCCTCCACTGACTGAAAAAAATTGAACTCAAGACTTTCGATAGATCATCTGTAGATACGCATTTATCAATCTCAAAAATCGTTCGAGCAAGTTTTATAAAAAAAAATTATTATTTTTGAAAAATACTTTGACAAAATAGAATTGAAATAGCATGGCGCTCACGCCTATTTATAACCTTAATTTCTATCGTATTTACCAACACTGTGAACACGACTATTAAGTTTTCAGTACTAAAACGTGCTGAGTTAGGATTCTAAACCTGAATTTTTTCTCTTGCAAGTTGTTTATACAAATAAATTCAAGAATTTTTGTAAACGTTTTTCTTATGTTTCTACTTTATATTGTTTCCATATCGATATTAGTCAACCGTTATTGATAAAACAAACAGAGGCCATCATTTTGTTTGAATTGATTTTTCGAATTGAACTTTGTTGAATCTCTTTTTGCAGTAATTGAAATACATATTTATCGTCAATTTGACAATTTCGAGTGTGACTTGTTTATGGTTTTACAGGCACTGTAATGTTTAGCAAGCCTTTTAAAAAAACTTTTCACTGAAAAAAATTATCCTATATTTTTCTTTATATTCGAGACGAATCACTATGAATGATAGTTAAAAATTAAAATAATGTGCAGTGTAATCGAAAATATCATCTAAGAAGAACCTAAAGCAAGATTGAATAGCGTCATAGTAGCTTGAAAAAAAGATACTTCAGATTCTAAAGTGATAGGGAAAAGTTTAGAAACAACGATTTTTTTTATTTTTTTGCATAACGTTAAGCATGTAGCTTCAATCCAAATAGTGATTTTAATAGCCAATGGAGTTTTCTATCCAATACACTTTATAGCAAGATTTCACAGATGAACAATGATGACAAGACTCGTAAAAAACCGAACACGGTATTTTTCAGGTCCTAGAAGACTTTGCCCAGAGCTATTTTTGAACAGTGTCATCTTAAAGAGTATAAAATTCTGAGCAAAATGAGGGGTCACCGAGTTTGCTACGACCTTCTCATAAAAAGTTACAAGCATCACAAAAATCATGAAAAAACGAAATTTTTTTAAAAATCGACTAAAAAGGCCTTTTCATGATTTTTGTGATGCTTGTAACTTTTTATGAGAAGGTCGTAGCAAACTCGGTGACCTCTCATTTTGCTCAGAATTTTATACTCTTTAAGATGACACTGTTCAAAAATAGCTCTGGACAAAGTCTTCTAGGACCTGAAAAATACTGTGTTCGATTCTTTAGGAACGTTGTCATCATTGTTTATCTGTGGAATCTTGTTATAAAGTGTATTGGATAGAAAACTCCATTGGCCATTAAAATCACTATTTGTATTGAAACTACGTACTTAACATTATGAAAAATACCAAAAAATTGTTGTTTCTAAACTTTTTTCTACCACTTTATATGTGTACTTACTAACCTTCCTATCGTCCTTAAGATTAGAACAACCTCACTTACATATTAATGATTGTTGATTCTACGTATACAGATTTTCTCACAAAAGAATTGTAACCAAGAAAATGATCTCATTTTAAGAGGGAAACAGTGGATGCAAGGAGTCTGTATTTAATTATCTTCCTTGTCTTATTGATGTGGACTTTCTTTCTCTCGTGCAGATAAAAGTAAATATCACTTTACATTGGTATTAGAAATGATATGTTAGAAAGAGTCAATGAAATATTTCTAGTAAAGAAACACAAATATCGCATGAAAATTGTAAAAAAGTCAATTTATTGGACTTATGTTTGACTCATCTAAGGCAACGTCAATTAGTTCTTTCAATCTTGTCATGTTGATTATGATCGATGCGTCGTGCCGAGTATTCGATGCTCCAGGAAAGTCGAAAACATAATCTTTTGCACTTCGTACTTGATAGTAAAGTTTACGAATATGCGGAAAATAATTTAAAAAAGCTCCATCCATCGAACCTGATTCTCCTATTTGATATCTCTCTCCCTTCAAATATGCTTCCTTATTGACATAGAAATCCATTACGATTGTGTGTGTGCCTTTAGGTAAAAATGGTATTATTGTTGAGATACCACCGCATGGCGTAATTAATATAGTTGTTTTGTATAATTCATGCATTTGTTGAGTAAATGTATATTTAGTCCAATCGATAACATCAAGCTGTATCTGTGGATATGTTAATTTTATAAAATTTTTAACTTCAACAAGATTTGAAATTGCACGTAAACTACGACGTTTTGCTTCAGTTTTGTTAACAAGTACAATACGATGACGTGATGGTAAATCGGATATATTGACACCATGATATTGTAGGATAGCAGTACGATAGTCATAGAGAAGTCTTTCTTTTCCATGTGTATATCGTTCATTACCAATAGAAAACATCGATTTAGCACCACCAGCTACAAGAGTTTGAAAACAAACAAGTGGCGAAGAAAAACTATTCGTATAATGAAAGAGACTATCAACTTTTGCAGCAAAAGCAGGAACGATATTTTGATACATTTGATGAAATCGATCTCCTATTTTAGGGAAATTTCGATATTCAAGAAGAACAGCATTTCTATCATATTCATTTAATCTAACCATAGCAAAGTAAGTAGATGCTATGTCTTCCCAAATGATATGACCAGGATTATAGGAAACATGCCAATGCATAAAAAGAACATGGACATGTTCTAAATAATGTGCTTCATTAGCAGATGGTAACCATTCTTCAATAATTGTTGGTCCCCATGATTGATGCATAGATCCTCGTGCTACAAGATTAACAAAGCCATGATTGTTTATATTAAAATCATATATATGACCTAGTTTAGGTTCAAATAAAATTGGCTTTTTAATACTGCCTGGTCTACGATAAAATTGAAATACTTTTCCTGTTTTATTATAACAGATATTTTTGAATGTACAAGTTCTTCGATGCCATTCAGATTCATAATTCATATTACCCGTACAAGTCCAAGCTGATTGATCATCTGAAGGTCCCAATAAATCTGCTTCATTTATTTTTTCTTGAATTTGATGTAGTGATATATCATTTGAGAATGCTGTATCCTGAGATTCATAATGATGATTAATTTCCAATAAAAAATGTAAATAATAAATCGTAAGTATCATAATAGAACTACATAGAAAGCAAAGCAATGTTTTTCTTGGTCGAAAATGCATTTTTTCCATTTGGTATAAGATTTATAATTTTTTCACATTTAACTAAACATAGATGATTGAAAAATAACTTATTATAGTATTTTTCATCGATCTTCTATCTTGCAAAAAAATAATTGATAATTAGACCAATTATGCGAAAGAAAGAATGAATAAAAAGGTACTTTCTGTTGAGATATTCAATATATCTGAAAAATAAAACGCTCACATGGTTATTCAGTTTTTAGGAGAAGAGAGTACAACTATAACTTCTTCAGGTTAATCCTTATGTGTTTTTGTTACTGTTTTTGCTACATTCCCGATTTAATCTAAAGTTCGACTTAGTGTAATGAATTTTGAGTTATAGAAGTGTACAAGAGACATTGCAAAATCAACAATGCGAAACCATCTGAATATATTTTGGCTCTAATCTTATCGAAAATCTTTGATGTTTTTGTACCAGATCTTTGGCAGATCTAATAGAAGTACAGATTTAAAACTAGGAATAGGTTCAGGAAACCATATATTCTGCAAGAAACCTGTAGTCACGAAATTCCAAAGATTTTAATTAGATGTGGAACAAGATCTTAGAAAGATCACGAGTAGCTATCCATTGTTTTTAGTTCAGGGTGCTGCCATGATTTCACTAGATTTCCTCTAGCATGTTATCAGATATTTAAAGGTATGAGTATGACTGCTGCTGTATGATTGCGCTTTCTCTTCAATAACGAACGAACTGACACAGACCTACCACTATTCCTACAACTACGTATACCTATGTCGGCACCACCCTTTATACCAAGCGAGAAACAGTGAACTTCGGATTTCAATAAGCTATTTCACTGCACTTGACTTCCAGGGACTTGACAATACTAAAAGACTTGTGGAGCCACGTGGAGTCTCGAAATCTTACACAATTTTTCTGTCAGTCAAACGTTGATTAGAAAGAAAAAGGTATACTCCATTAACTGGCATATAATATTTACATTAAACTGTAAATATATATACTATAAAAACAATTACAAAGCATGATAGTGAGCAATGAAAATAATATCATTATACTAGATTATGATAGTAGAGAAGAGACAAATCACTTTGGATATAAAAGACTAAGATTATGAGAAAATCAAGCATTACATGATATGAATGATGGAGTGACATTTCAGAATTCACTAATTTTTTTAAAATATATTATAGAGGATGATAAGTTTAGTATTCCCTGAAATTTTCACTTCGATCTGATTACCTTTTCCTATATAAACAATCAAAATACTAGTGATATTTTTCATATGATTTTTTTTTTGATTATTTTTCAATAAATTTTAGGCCAGTTTTCTTCAGTAAAAGTGACTTTCTCATGATAATTTTTGACTTCCTATTGGTTTTTTTTATCTATAAATATTGAAGTATTGTCCTTCTCTATATTTCTATATTTTGTTCAAGTTCCATCATCTAGAATATCTAACGACTTTTGTCTTTGAGAAAAGTAAAGCACTTTTAATTAAAAGTCATATTATCTTATTGTTCATAAGATATGTATGAAGATATTATTTCATTTTTCATTGATTATACATTCTCGATCGGTTAATATTTTCCTAAGTAGCTACTTTTTTTGTTGTAGGTAGTATGATAATTGAAGGTAACTAAATCAGACCTTCAACATTTTTAGTGTTAACAACGAAAAGGACGATAAATTTAGAGGTAGATCACTTTCATACAAAATAGCTTAAAAGATTATATGACCAGGCTCTTATTGTGAAAAATTGAAATTTATCGAGAACAAATCTGATATTCGGAGTCAGCATGAAAAACTATACTAGAAAATATGCTTTCCATCTTGAAATGTTATCTATGAGAATTTCACTATATTCAACCTCAGCTATTTACCCCTAGAATATTCCCTTCGGATGAAATATATATGGAAGATATTTTATAATGAAATATTTTCTGATTTAGTTTTCAAGCTGACTCCGAATATCAGATTTGTTCTCGATAAATTTCAACTTTTCACAATAAGCGCCTGACCATATCATCTTTTAAGTTATTCTGTATAGAAATAATCCACCTCTAAATGTATTGTTCTTTTTTTTTGTTAACACTAAAAATACTGAAGGTCTGGTTTACTAATTTTCAATCATCATATAATCCACAAAGAAAACATAGCTACTTAAGAAAATATTAACCAATCGAGAATATATAATCAATAAAAAATAAAACAATATTTTCAAAATATATCTTATGAATAATAAGATAATATGACTTTTAATTAAAAGTACTTTACTTTTCTCAAAGATAAAAGTTGTTAAATATTCTAGACGATGGAACTTGAACAAAATATAGAAATATACAGAAGAACAATACTTCAATAGTTATAGATAAAAAAAAAATGGGAAGTTAAAAGTTTCAAAAATTGTCATGAGAAAGTCACTTTTACTGAAGAAAACTGGTCAAAAATCTGTTGAAAAATAATTAAAATAACCATATGAAAAATATCACTAGTATTTTGATTGTTTATATAGAAAAAAGTAATCAGACCGAACTGAAACTTTCAGAGAATACTAACCTCATCATCCGTGTACCAATATTATGTTGATTATTTGTGTTATCAACTGGTAATGATATCGAAGCTGATGTTAAATATGTGAGAATGATTATTTGTGTTAAAGTTTTTTCGCGTTGACAAGGAAGCGATGAATGAGTAATGTCAAACGGTTTATCATTATTTTTAAGCTCTTTTATTACTTCATACGGAATAGCAGCTTTTAAATCTCTATAATAATTTGAAATTTTTCATGATATTTTTTTTTTGTCATTGTGAACAATTTACCATAATAACAATTGATATTAGTATTTAATGTATTGTTTAAACCATTTTGAATTCTTAAATGATATTGTTGACGGTCAATTAATGTAAAATCATTTAAAGACAAATTTTCTTTATTATCATTGTGCCAACGCTGTATTGAATTAGTTGTATATTTTTTATGGTTAACACGGGTACATTGTGCTCTTGATGTTGTTAGGTATGGTTGGTGTGACATTTGAAGACAATGTTATTCGTGACTATTTAACATTTGTTGTAGTTGTTAGTGATAATGATACAAATGTTTTTGAATTTTTCTTTCTTTTATTTTCATTATTTTTTATTCTGAATAGTTCAATTAAATAATTGATTATAATCTTTGCTACATGCTTTAATAGTAAATGATTCATCATCGTTCATAAATCCAGTCTTGCTCTTAATATTATCTAATTGTTTGCTTGCTATATCCTTAATTTGGTGTGGATGAGTCTTCAGTTCAACTACACCCTCTGTCCACAAGGAAATGCTGTAAGAGGTTAACCATATTTGTATGGATTACTTCGAGCTGGTGATGGAAATTTCAAACATAATAAATCGGAATTTATGATAATTGGAGAAATTTGTGGATTTATCAATGTCACTAGGTTTGTCTTGAGCATTACACATGAAAGTAATAGCAAAATTGATAAAGAGTAAAAATTTATTTAACCATTTCATAGTTGTGTGATCAAATTAAATCAAAATTATCTTATGTATAAGATTATATTTTTCGTACGATTGATGCAATAATTTGGTGAAATCACATTGTTTTTTATAATTAGATTAATTTGTTTTTGTCGTTGCTGGTTGACATTATATATATATTGGTCGTGAAGTAAAATTATGTAGTATCACGCGCATAAATATAGGACTCATCATAGAAGGTACGACTATCCTCACACATGTATCGGTTTTTTCGTTCTTTATTGACGTCATTGATGATTAGATGGATTGGACGTTTTATGTTTGTATGTGTATGTAGATTCATTATTTACCTAAATAAAATGATCACAAGCAAAATATTAAAATAATTATTTTCTTTTAACTATATCTGATTAAATTTCTACTTGTGCCATTTTATCTTTCATCTAAGTTAATAGCAAGTATATCAGTTTTTGTAGCAAACACATGTATGGAAAGATGATCTTATTGTTTTTCTCTTACAAAATAATTAAAGTTTCTCTATTTTCTGTTAAAAAATATACGTTAATAATCTTAATGTTATTTCTAATAATCGAACATTAAAGTGATATTCTTATTGTTTATTGAATAAATAAAGATTATTTCTTTTTCTTGGATGTCATTAATACTCGGTTCGCAAACTTAATGAATGGTTGTTCAACAAGACAATACTAGTAACATGCTATTACTTCTGATAGAATTACTTAACAATCACGATTGAACCAGTAATGAAACTACCATATCGTACATGTATAGTAGTATAAAACTTGATAATTTATAACGATCAATAAATTGTGACTGATTTAGTGAGAATGTTAAGTTATAAGAATCAAATAATGCTTCCGATTGTTCATAACTTATTTGATAGAATGGATACGATTGC